GACTACACAAAACAAGATAAAAGTCAATTCATGGAATACATTATTTTGAAAAAATTAAATTCATGACAAGAAACAAACCACGTAAAAAAATTGCTAGTGGTTTTAACTGAAATTACTTAAATATGAGAAGTTTCATTTACCAATACCTACCAGAAATCAAAATGGTAATGGTAATATTAGCTGATTCCTTATGAGGAAATATTTGGTATTCATTGGCCAAGAAGCTATTGCTAATTTTAGTTGAAATTTATAAAAACATTCTCTTAAAAAATTTTTTTTCTATGAAATCGAGTAACTGTTATGTGTGTATGTGTATATTTCAGTCTCAGTTATTTCATTGATACGTTCTTTGTTAAAAGCAACAGCCAAAGTTAATTCTTTAATTTTTTAGTTAACCTTTGAAAAAGAGCATTTGGATCCACTCACTATAAATATTGTCTGAATGTTAATGATCAAACACTTAAAACTATACCTCTGGTCATTTTCAAGATTCAGTGTTGTGCAGACATGCTGTTTTGCATTCTGGGTAAAACAATAAACTATGTCCAACAGCAAGGACTCTGATCATGAAGTTTTGCAGAGCATGGAATCAACTTTTAATTGTTGGTGTTCCAAGGTCCACCCTGCCATGGAGTGGTAGCACCTGTTAGGGCCTCAACTATGGGCAAATAGTTAACCCCCAAACTGGGGTTAAAACACTGAATATGTAAGAATAGGTTTTAATACCAGCAATAAATTTTTTGAAGGAAAAATTATTACCAGCAATACATTTTTGAAGAAAATAAATATTACCAGCAATACATTTTTGAAGAAAATAAATATTACCAGCAATATAATACATTTTGAAGAAAATAAATATTACCAGCAATACATTTTTGAAGAAAATAAATATTACCAGCAATACATTTTTGAAATAAATTTTTGAAGAAAATAAATATTACCAGCAATACATTTTTGAAGAAAATAAATATTACCAGCAATACATTTTTTGAAGAAAATAAATATTACCAGCAATACATTTTGAAGAAAATAAATATTACCAGCAATACATTTTTAAATATTACCAGAAGAAAAAAATAAATATTACCAGCAATACATTTTTGAAGAAAATAAATATTACCAGCAATACATTTTGAAGAAAATAAATATTACCAGCAATACATTTTTGAAGAAAATAAATATTACCAGCAATACATTTTTGAAGAAAATAAATATTACCAGCAATACATTTTTGAAGAAAATAAATATTACCAGCAATACATTTTTGAAGAAAATAAATATTACCAGCAATACATTTTTGAAGAAAATAAATATTACCAGCAATACATTTTTAAGAAAATAAATATTACCAGCAATACATTTTTTGAAGAAAATAAATATTACCAGCAATACATTTTGAAGAAAATAAATATTACCAATTTTTGAAGAAATACATTTTACATTTTTGAAGAAAATAAATATTACCAACAATACATTTTTTGAAGAAAATAAATATTACCAGCAATACATTTTTGAAATAAAATAAATATTACCAAGAAATACATTTTTTTTGAAGAAAATAAATATTACCAGCAATACATTTTTGAAGAAAATAAATATTACCAGCAATACATTTTTGAAGAAAATAAATATTACCAGCAATACATTTTTGAAGAAAATAAATATTACCAGCAATTTTTGAAAAAAAAATATTACCAGTATTTTTTTGAAGAAAAATAATATTACTAGCAATACATTTTTGAAAGAAAAAAGTATTACTAGCAATGCATTTTTGGAAAAATATTACCAGCAACAAAAATTGTCGTATTAAATAAGCCATTGAGGTTGATATGTTGTAAAGACAAACCAAACCAGGTGTTTTGCTATATTGAAATATTTTTAAAACTTGGTGTGGTTGTTATACTCTAGAGTGGCATCACAAGCAGGTGACTGGGAGACAAAATCTTTCATTAGTTAATTATACTGGCAGTTGATAAATACATTTAAAACTGTAGTTAAAGGAGATTTTGTTTAGGTCCAAAAACTTTTGAATTTTTATGTTCAAGAATTCTAATATGTTTCTTTTTACAGTTAATGCTATAAAGTATATATATATATATATATATATATATATATATATATATATATATATATATATATCCTTATGTTGATGGAAATCATATTGCCAAGTGTATATGTTTATTGATAGAGACACAGATTGCAGGGATCTGTGGGATGGCTAGTTAACCTACAGGATAGAATAGTGGTCATACATACAAATTTGATGCTTGTACATCAGAGATGACAGCCATTGCAAAGCTAAGAACCATCTGGAAGACAAGAACATCTGTTTGAAATCAAACATCAGACTAATGAATACATGTGCCTGCTCAGTTTCTTCTGTAAGCCACAAATTTTGAACATTAACAACAGAATTACAGCCAAAAATCCAAGTATTAGAAATAAGATGATTGCAGGATCATCCAAGGCAACTCTTACATAAACTGTATCACAAACGAGGCAGTGTAAGATGCTATCATGTAAGAAACAGACTGTCAAGAAGAGAAAGTTAGTCTGGCTACAATGTAAGAGCCAACAATCTTTTCATTTTCATCTTACAAGGTATCACCTTAGGCAAAAGAGGAAGTGACAGACAGGGGAAAAAATAGTCTATGACTCAGAGGCTCAGACATTGGCACAATGAGTTATATGAAGGGAGCTGGTCAGGCGTTGATCATGGTTCTGTGATGATGATGATGATGGTGATTGATATTATGAAATCATAGAGAATATAATTCTCCAGTGGCCTTGAGAATTCTTAGATGACATTAATGTAGTGCAATGTTTTACAAGCAGGGGGTTGTTAATGATTACAAATTTAGATTTTTTTTCTCAAAAAATTGTTTAGTACAGATTTTGATTAAGAAATATGTGGTAGCATGTTCAAGGAAATGTAAAAAAAGAAATCTGAAAATATAAATGAAAGATAAAAAATCATAACTAAACAGACGATGTTTTTGTACCACTGACAGCTAAATGTTTCAAAGTATATAGACAATGTGCCCATGTGTGTTTTTGTGTCTGTGTATGAGACAAAAGTAGGTAAAAAAGCAAGTTGCCATAATTATTTCCATGCGAGTCCAAGAGGAAGAGACAGTTTTTGAATTTGGCACTGTGTTTATTCTCACATGACGTAACAACTGTAGTGTTATGAAACTATGTATCTAAGGGGACTAACACCTCACTTTTTACCCTAATGTTTTAATTATATACATGAATGTGTATATGAATGTTACATATATATATATATATATATATATATATATATATATATATATATATATGTGTGTGTGTGTGTGTGGGATTGAAGTCAATGACTACTTTTATGTTTAGATACACTCTATCCCTGAATTTAAGCACTTTAACCCATAAATATAGCATACCTTAAAACTATATATATATATATATATATATATATATATATAATTGTTTTGTATTTTACCTTTCCACAATTTCAAGTTTCATGAGATAGCAATATATGGCGGAAAAAGGGCCTAAGAAAGATATCAATTTTGACCTTTCAATGAGGTCATTTGATGAGGGTGGAGGTTTATGAGCTTCTGGAGTTGTTGCACAAAGAAAAAGTTAAAACAAATGGATAAAAAAAGACAATGGGCTTTACAGAGATGATGATCTTATATTTATTGAAAACAGTACTAGTAGAAAAATTGATTCTGTAAAAAAAAGATTTTTTTGAATTGTTTAAACATTTGAGGTTCAACATTAGAGTTGAAAAAGGTTTGAAAAAACATCATATATTTTGATGTCAGTTAAATCTTAATGATGTTACAGTGGTGCTGTACAGAAAAAGGAATTGCAAATTAAATTATGTCAACACTGAATGGAACACTCCAGACACGTTATTGATAAAATACCAATAAACATAGAACAGAGGTTGTCACGCAACTTATCTTCAGAACATATTTGAAAATATCAAACATGTTTATCTTCAGAACATATTTGAAAATATCAAACATGTTTATCTTCAGAACATATTTGAAAATATCAAACATGTTTATCTTCAGAACATATTTGAAAATATCAAACATGTTTATCTTCAGAACATATTTGAAAATATCAAACATGTTTATCTTCAGAACTTATTTGAAAATATCAAACATGTTTATCAGTCAGGATTGCAGGTAGAGGGCTACAAAAAGATATTGAAATATCAAAATGTTAAACCAATTTCAGAAAAAAAATGAAGTAAAAAATGGGAAAAAGAAAATTTGGTTTATTCCACCTGTCTTTATATTAACAAATAAAACCAAAATTGGATCAAAGATTTTGTGGAATTAAACAAGCGTTTTCCCTGTGAATAACATATAGTATAGAATTTCCAAAAGAACAATGTAAAAATTAGTTACAGAACAAAAGCCCAATAAGTAAAGTTAAAAAAGTCAACTGAGTGACAGAGCAACAAATGGCAGGAGATTGTAAAGGACCTTAATTAAGCACTTTTTCTAGAAAAATATTTATGTATCTTCAAATATTTTGAATAAAATGTATTTAATTTATTATGATGACTACAAAATTAAAATATTTTTTAAACTTGTATAAAAATTGGAGGATGAAAAATTATCTTCCATAAAAGTCACTCAAAATTACTGTTTGTTTTTTAGTAAAAGATGTGAAATCTTGCTGACGTTTTGACCTTTAGATTTGTCACTTATAGTATCAATCAATATTATGGTTTCTATCTTAAATCTGTCTATTCTTGTTATTTTGATTCCATAAGGACTGTCTGAAAAGTAATTGTGATAAAACATGAGTTACAATCATAGGCACAATCTTTAAATTTTTACTTTAATCACCTTGTAGCGATTAAAGGTGAAATTCAGACATTGGTATTACAATGTTGTACATATGCAATTATAAATCACTGTTCATTTCTGTATATCAAAGTCCATTTCTATATATCTATCCATCTCAGTCTATTCAGAAGTATCTATCTAATTCAGTCAGTTCAGACTTATCTATCTATCTATCTATCTCAGTCTATTCAGACTTATCTATCTATATCTAATTCAGTCAATTCAGTCAGTTCAGACTTATCTATCTATCTATCTCATCTATCTATCTATCTAATTCAGTCAGTTCAGTCTATTCATCTAAGTATCTATCTATCTATTCAGTCTATTCAGTTCAATTCACAGTTCAAACTTATCTATCTATCTATCTATCTCAGTCTATTCAGAAGTATCTATCAGTTCAATTATCTATCTATCTATCTCAGTCTATTCAGACTTCTAATTCTATCTATCTATCTATCTATCTATCTCAGTCTATTCAGAAGTATCTATCTAATTCAGTCAGTTCAGACTTATCTATCTATCTATCTATCTCAGTCTATTCAGAAGTATCTATCTAATTCAGTCAGTTCAGACTTATCTATCTATCTATCTATCTCAGTCTATTCAGAAGTATCTATCTAATTCAGTCTATTCATCTATCTATCTATCTCATCTAATTCTATCTAATTCAGTCAGTTCAGATCTATCTATCTATCTATCTATCTCATCTATCTCTATCTATCTCATCTATCTATCTCAGTCTATTCAGAAGTATCTATCTAATTCAGTCAGTTCAGACTTATCTATCTCTATCTATCTATCTATTCATCTATCTCAGTCTATTCAAAAGTATCTATCTAATTCAGTCAGTTCAGACTTACCTATCTACCATCTATATATTTCAGTCAGTTCATATCTATCTATCTGATTCAGTCAGTTCAAATCTATCTATCAATATCAATCAGTTCAAATCTATCTATCTATCTATCTATCTATCTATCTATCTATATCAGTTCAGATCTATTTATTTCAATCAGTTCAGATCTATCTATCCATATCAATCAGTTCAAATCTATCTATCTATCTATCTATCTATCTATCTATTTAAATCAGTTCAGATCTATTTATTTCAATCAGTTCAGATCTATCTATCAATATCAGTCAGTTCAAATCTATCTATCTATCTATCTATCTATCTATCTATCTCAATTGGGTCAGATCTATTTATCTATCTATTTCAGTCTATTTCTCACTCAAATCTATTTATCTATCTATTTCAGTTGGGTCAGATCTATTTCAGTCACTTCAAATCTATTTATCTATCTATTTCAGTTGGGTCAGATCTATTTCAGTCACTTCAAATCTATTTATCTATCTATTTCAGTTGGGTCAGATCTATCTATATTAGTCAGTCCAAATCTCTCTATCTATCTTTTTTCATTAAGTTCTATCCATCTTTTTCAGTCAGTTCAAATCTATCTATCTATTTCAGATCTATCTATTTTTATCAATACCAGGTGGTAGTGGTAGACTGTTTCATGATTATTAAATAATAAACTGATTTCATAGCAGAATTACTACATATTAATGTAACTGGAAAAATATATTTAAATATTAAAAATATATTTAAAAATAGAAATGTCATCACATTCTAATAAAAGTAAGGACATAACAAAATCTGCCATTAAGTTTTATTACAGGGGTTTACTAGTATATCCTTAAATTAGAAAATGATTTAATTTTTAATTCTTTAGAAAAATCTCTCAGTATTTTCAGTTATCAAAGAATTTATATACACTCTTTATGTGTGTGTGTGTGTGTGTGTGTGTGTGTGTGTGTGTGTGTGTAACTCTCTCTTTCTCTCTCTCTCTTTCTCTCTCTCTCTTTCTCTGCATCGTGTAGAAATATATATAAGGAGGTGTTGAAAAGTTATTTATTTTATTGAAACTTTGATAAATAAAAGGTCAAGAGGGCTGCCCATAATGACGCCATCAGTTTGTGTATGAATATTACCAAGGTGATCATGGAAAGGGACTTGTGTTGTGGATACTAATAAAAGTGTTTTTTAATTCTTCTATGCCTCTTGATTCCTTGGAGAACATAAAGCCACAAAAATACCTCTCCAGCAGACATGGTTGCAAGCAATCCTCTTCAGCTCAGCCCATGTCATGCTGGCTGCCTTTACACTTTTGCGCCAAGTCTGTTTTGGTCAACCCATTTTTCGCTTCCCTTGTGGATTCCAGTCAAGGGCCTGCCTGGTGACACTAGAAGCAGGCTTGCAGAGTGGGTGGCTGATCCATCTCCATTTCTGTCTCTCTTGCCTCTTGATTCCTTGGGGAACATAGGGTCACAACAACACCTCCCCAATGGATGCGGTTCTGGGTAATCCTCTTCAGTTCAGCCCATGTCATGCTGGCTGCCTTTACCACTGTATCAACATTTCTGCACCAAGTCTGTTTTGGTCAGCCCACTTTTCGTTTCTCTTGTGGATTCCAGTCAAGGGCCTGCCTAGTGACACTAGAAGCAGGCTTGGGGTGTGTGTGGCTGATCTATCCCTATTTCTGTTTCTTGATATCAATCTCAACTGGGGCTTGTCTGGTCCCGTCCCACAGTTTGTCGTTGGAGACGACTTCTGGCCACCTAATACTGATGATGTTACTGAGACATCGGTTGGTAAATGTCTGAAGTTTTTTGGGTGTTGGTCTTGGTTATCCAACAGGTTTCTGAGTTGTAAAGTAGGACTGACTTGACATTGGTGTTGAAATTTTTTTATACTGTGGTATTAATTTTCAGAGGTGGTAGAGAATAATGGTGATAAATGTTATTTAAAATAATGTCAATTTTTTCAAGAACTGGAATCTTAGTAAACAAATTTTCAACTTCTAAGGATGTTAAGATTTCATCTTGACGTTTGCTGGAGTGAAGAATTTGTAAATATTTGTTAGTAGAACTGAGAGTATATAACTACAGTATGATTAATTGTTTTTTTGATAATTGATTATATATGGGTGAAAGAATTTTGATATCCGTCAGTGATTTTTTTAAGTTTTAACAATCCCATTTTGTAGTTATTAATTGATTGACATGTGTTTTTAGATGTAATGTTGTGTTCTTGTGGAATTTAAAAAAAAATTTGTGCTATCATCTAGCTTTTCTTATAATAATAGTCATAATCTTTGAGTTTGTATGCAGCTTTTTTAAAGATTGGGTTGTTTAAAAGTGAATTAGTCCTTTTAAAACATCTGTTTTTGATAGATTTGACTTTTTTTTAGTCCTAAGTGAGGTGTGATAATGTCATCTTTTCGTATGTTTACAATATTGTTCTATAAGATTTCTATTTCAGTTTCTTTGGTGATGTTAGTGTATTTATATTTTGTTTTGTTGGTAGTTTGCTCTGAAATTTAAAAACGTTTTTTGATGTTTGGTAAGTTGTATGTCCAAAAGATTGTCCAAAAGATTGAGAAATTTATAAGAGCAACTGAACAAGATATGGATCCTTTGAATAAATTGTTGAGCATTTTTTAATTTTAGATTTGTGAGAAGTATCTTCATTTTGTGTAATAAGTTTCAGTTAATTTCAGGTAATGTCTTAGTATTGTTTGGCTGAAGTGAATGACTACAAATTTTGAGTTAACATCCTTTATGAATCTGTTTTTTAGAAAGTTGAATTTGCTTTTCAACAAGATTTTCATTGGAATTTTTGAGTATTGATATCTTGGTAAGCTGCACTATCATGCAATTTAAGTTTTGTGTATTTAGGTAGAAAATATTCTTGAGGACAAATATTAAAAATGATGGAAAATTTGTATTGATTTACTACAGAAATTCAACTTTTGGCTTACATCACAACTTTTGGCTTACATCACAACTCTTGGGTTACATCACAACGCTTTGCTTATATCACTACTCTTACCTTATATCACAAAACTCTTGGCTTACATCAGAACATTCTTTGCTTACATCACAACACTTAGCTTATCACAACGCTCTTGGCTTACCACATAACACTATTTGCTTACATAACAATACTCTTTGCTTACATCACATCACACATGGCTTATATCATAATACTCTTTGCATATATCACAACACACTGCTTATATCACTACAATTTTGGCCTACATCACAACACCCTTGGCTTATATCACAACACTGCTTATATTGCAACATTCTTTGCTTACATCACAACACTTTTGTCTTATATCACACACTCTTAGTTTACATCACAACACACTTGATTTACATCACAACACTCTTGGATTACATTACATCACTCTTTGCTTACGTCACACTTTAATTACGTCACAACAATATTGGCTTACATCATAAAACTCTGCTTATATCACAAAACCCTTGGCTTATATCACAACACTGCCTACATCAAAATACTTTTGGCTTACATCAGAACCTTCTTTGATTATATCACAACACTCTTGGCTTACATAAAACAATCTTTGCTTACATCACAACACATGGCTTATATCACAACACTCTTGGCTTACATCATAACAGCTAGCTTACATCACAACACTCTGTGCTTATATCACAACACTGTGATTATATCACAACACTCTTGGCTTATATCACAACACTCTTGGCTTACATCATAACACTTGGCATATATCACAACACTCTTTGTTTATATCACAACACTTGGGTTATATCACAACACCTGACTTACACCACAAAACTCTTTGCTTATATCACAACACTTGGCTTACTTGGCATGTTCTGATGTAAGCAAAGAATGCTAGGATAACAGTCTTTGCTTGCATCAGAACACTTTACTTATTTCACAGCTCTTGACTTACATCACAAATCTCTTTGCTTACATCACACCACTCCTTGCTTATATCACAACACTCTTTGTTTATATTACAACACTCTTTCGTTATATCACAACACTCTCGGCCTACATCATAACTCTCTGCTCATATCACAACACCTTTGGCTTATGTCATAACACTTTGCTTATATCACTACCCTTGCCTTACATCACAATACTCTTTGCTTACATCACAACTTTTGGCTTACATCACACTTTCCTTATATTACAACACTATTTGCTCATATAACAACACTCTTGGCTTGCATCAGAATATTCTTTGCTTATATCACAACATTTGGCTTATCACAACAGACTTGCCTTACATCACACTTTGCTTACAGCACACTTTGCTTACTCAACACTCTTGGCTTACATCACAACACACTTGGCCTAGATCATAACACTCTGCTCATATCACCTCACAACACTGCTTATATCACAACACTCTTGGCTTACATCACAACGCTCATTGCTTACATCGCAACACTTGGCTTACATAATGCACTTGGCTTGCATCACAACACTTGGCTTACATAATGCACTTGGCTTGCATCACAACACTCTTTGCTTATATCACAACACTTGGCTTGCATCACAACACTCTTGGCTTACATCACATTACTTTGCTTGTATTACAACTCTTGGCTTACATCACTACAATTTTTGCTTACAGCACAGCACTTTTTGTTTATATCACAAAACTCTTTGCTTACATCACAACACTCATTAGTTCTATGAATTTGGATGCCAAAATGCACATACTTTCATCACATACTTCTAACAGCTTATTTTAAAAAAATGTATTGTTACACTATTTCAAAATTTTTCTAAAGACACCAGTTGTCTCTGACTACCCTGACAATGACTTAAGAAAGCTAAAAACTTAAACCATATTTCCTGTACTTTTCTTCCAAAATGAACTTTGGATAATTTCTGATGAAATTCCCTCCTGGTCTAGGAAGGATTATTTGTAACTTGGAAAAGTCAATCAAATATACAAATGAGCAAATTGTGTTTTATACTCACACTAATAATGTGTACATCAGAAAAAGGAAATATATATTAATATACTCCACCATTAGGTTGAAATTGAATATGCATGAATCTGACATTTTCCTTTAATAAAGAATAAAAAAAAGTAGAATAAAGAAAATCTTTTGATATCCTATGTAGTGCTAGGATTACAGACATTAGTGTTGAAATTGTTGAAGCCCAAAATTTGTACACATAAAATAAATTTAAAATTCTTTTTAAAATACTGGTGATCATTGAATTGTAGTAGGCTTTTCCATTTAAGATTACTAAATAAGGTCTTAATTTAATAACAGTATCATTTGACTGCTACAATTTAATACAGAATTTTAAAACTGTATAAATTATTCTAATTAAAATTTTAAAAAAGGAATACAATTCTTGTAAAAATTCATTATTAATTGAAAACATTTTTTTCTGAAGACAATAGTGTCTATAATATATTTTATATATAAAAGCAATTAAAAGCTTTTCTAATTTAATAACATCTTAGTTTTATTGCATTTTTTATTTTACAATTCAGAGCAGATTTTCTGTAACTGGGGGTTATGTTTGATAAAAAAATTCATGATTTAAATTTTCAGAGGACATTGTCCTTAAACTATTATAAACATTAAGTGCTACAGAAAAGAATTTCTTGAAATTTCCTCAAATTAAATAAGTG